GTAGTAAAGATTTTTTATAGAATATAGGCTTCTTGAGCGATCTAAAAAGCAAAATGAATAAAATGTACCAAAAAAGTAATCCAGAACTCCCCTTTTCGCCCTACTTGTATATATCTACTGAAGATAAACTTGACGACCATCAGATTGTTGAAATCGTGTTGGCAGAAAACTTGGAATATGAGCAGGGTGATCCAGATAATTTAGATGAGGAGCCACCACATATTTCGGCACCAGAAGGACTAAATGGATTAAAAAATTTTATTTTGTTCGCTGAGCAACAAATGGGTAGTGATTTTGATAGAAATAATTTAAAAATATTTCGTAAATACTTATCACTAATGAGGCATAAAATCTCTGAGTCCTTAAAACAAAAACCTATTACTGTTTTTTTGGGGAAGGAACTCAAGATTATGAATATTCTTCTAATAATAAATATCTTTTTAGTGAAGAAGATTTTCTCAATAACGAAGATTTTAATAATGAAGGTTTATATGATGAAAATCTTGACAATGAAGATTTTTATAATGAAGATTCTTATAATGAAGGTTTTGATAATGAAAACCTTTATGATGAAAATTTTTGAGGTAATGAATGATATACAAAAGAACATACATGAAATAAAATTTAAATAAATAAATAAATTATATAAATTAAAATAAACTGATAATGATAAAAGACTCCTAAATTTGTAACAAATAATAATACGCTGTTATATATTTATAACAGCACCTCTTTATACTATATTCCTAATAAAAGTACCAAAACCACTTTCCACAATATTACATATATATTAAGTCGAATGTACTACCAAAAATTATGCTGCCGAAAGTCAAAGTTTACATAAGTCAATCTACTTTTTTGAAGACTGAAGTTTACCAAGAGTGTTCTCAAGCATCTTTATTAACCTGTCAGAATGAGTCTAGGAGTAAATTTTTATTAGTAAAGAAAAGGTTAACAAATCAATTGTATTGATTATTCCAATGAATAAAACACATAATGAAAATTTAATATGTCAGAAAGAAAAATTTTATTAGCAAGGGTATTTATCATTCTAATCAACAAGAGATAGAGGCCCAAATGTCCTTTTTTTAGCATAGAATTGTGTTTACTAGTCAAAATTTTTCATTGATTGATTAGAAAAAAAATTGTTCAAGTACTTCACTCTTTTTACATTATTATTATTACTTATGCTAAAAATATTCACCAAAATAAAAAAGCTCAGCTCGTTTTTGTGTTCTGTTGGTTCATAGTGAATTTTGAAAAAGTAACAGAATTTGGAAGTATTGTACTGTAGATTCTTTATCCTTTTATTAATCTATCATTTTCGTTAATTTGTTTCATTTCATTTTATTTTATTTTTTATTTTTATTTTTTATTTCTATTTGTAAACAAAAATACTAAATAGAGCAATGATAAAGATGTTTGCTCATCACATAAGTTCTCTTGTCTCTGTGATTTTGATGAATTTGTATTCTTGATTTTTATTAGAAGGTAAAAGAGAAAGAGAAAGTTACTATTAGTAATCCAAAACCTTCTTTTATATAAAAGTATAACAATTAATTAAACCTTGATCAACATCATAAATTTACTTACAATACCGATATCATGATTCTGTTTTTACCCACATGATTCACATGATATCATGAATGAAGTTCATGATCGGAGGCAATTCAAAGCTTTAAATCACCAAAACTTGGAAATTAGAATTCTCTTTAGTCTCAAATTAGGTCAATCTACATAACCCACCCAAGAAAATTGAAAGATATACTTAGTCGAGACTCCAGTTACGCCACAGCAAGACCCAGAAGCCTTGAAGTCTTTCTGTGCCTCTTTTCTGCCTGCCACTTCAAGGTTTAGTTAGGCATCTTGAAGCCATAGTTGGATAGTTTTAGTGTGTTGATTAGTTAGATTAGTAGTTTTTAGCCTCAACCCATTAGTCGCACTTTCTTAATATACATTATGCATTATTGTTATGACTAGCTATGATTCAGCCTCTCTATTTGTTATAGCTCTAGGTGACTATGAACGAAGATAACGTAGACTCAAGGAAAAAATACCAATGTCTTAATATGAAGGCACAAGGTTACATTTTTCAATATTACTGTTTTTTACTCAGGGCAAAAAGGGTAAGAGTTTTTCTATATCTTACATTCGATTCTTAATTACATCATTGATTTTATTTATATTCTTTGACTTTCGCTGATTGCACATTTTTCATGTGTCCATGTTGATGCTAAATTATATAATTAAATCAATTATTCTTAACTAATCATGATCGAAAAACGTGATCGCGAAATCTTCGAACCCAACATACGATACAATAAGTATTGTATTTACTTTTTTTTAATTCATAAGTGCTTCTATCCCTTGTTTTCAGAATTTACCCTTTGATCATTACATGTATTTTAAACGTCTATCTTTGATCTTGACCGTGACACTATTTGGCACCAAAATACTTTCAAGGCAGTTCTTATTATCTAAATTACTTTAACTGTTTTTTTAAAAAAATCTAATATGTTTTTTTTTTAGTTAAAAGCTAAAAATATCAAACCATATTGTGATGCAAAAACATATGCGTACGTACATACAGTAGCTTTTAAAATTCAAATTTATTTTTATCTAATGGTAATGTAATGATTAATTTTTCCTGTGTCTCCTCAATTCCGTATTTGTTTAATTCTTTAAGTTGTTACTTATCTTCTATAATTGTAATATCATAGTCATATTAATCCTACCTTAGTAGTATTAAGCATTAAGTATTCTTGGTAGCTTCATTCATGCAAGAGTGTTTACGCTCAAATAGCGTATACACGATTGCATAAATTTGTAGTCATTGTGTCTTGGTCAAATGTGGACTCTACAGTATAAGTGTTGAGATCACTGTGTTGAATCTATAAAATTAGAATGTATATAAGAGTGTACCTTCATCCTTAGTTGAGAGTAATATTCACTCTCCTAAATTCCCTGTAAATAAAGGTCATATATATTCACATTCTTTTTTATGATAAATTCCTAATAAACTATGAATATGGATGCGAAGCAGCCAATAACAAGAATTATTGCCCAATTCATATGACTTTTCTAACATCAACTATCGGATTTAAACTTGGCATAACAGTACCAAGCTCTTCCTTACAATGGTTATAGTAACATGCTTTTAAATAGAAATTGGATTCTTCAATTATTTTAACCATTTTGTCTGTTTAATCTAATTTAGCTATCATAAGCATCGTAATATAGCCCAGAGCTATAAACTAATTTTTTACATAATTAACTAGTTTTAATTCTTATTTTTAGAGATTACTATTCTTAAAAATAAACTTTTATTGTTCTGTGGTTTACCGTAGGTTTCCGAAAATAAGCTACCCTTTTTTGGCTAAAAAGTTATACAAAAATCATGGGAGTAGCTTATTTTTGGGGACAATTAATTTTTATCAATTTTTATTAAGCCACAAGTAGTTGCTACATATAAAAGTTGAAATTTTACTAAGTAAATCG